GGTGGGGTCGTCAGGTGGGTGGGTGAGGGGTCGGCAAAATCCCTGGTCAGGGGGTGGGGTCGTCAGGGGGCGGGGGGGGGTCAGGGAGCGGGGGTGGTGGGGCAGAAAGGGGCGGAGAGGGGGGTTGGGTGATGGACTTCGGGCTTGGGAGGAGTAGGGGGTAGGGGCAGGGCGAGCACGCACGGAGCATTTTTGTGGGTTGCGGTCACAAATCGTTGGTTCTGAAATCGACAAAAAAAGTGTTTTTGAGTTTTTGGGGGCCGGGAGGGGGGGTCGCCTGGTCGGGGGGTGGGGGTGGGGTTGTCAGGTCGAGGAGGGGTGAGGGGGCAGGGGTGCAGGGTGAGTCCGGGGGCGGGGGGGGGGTGGGGGTGAGGTCGGGGGGTGCAGGGGGAGGGGGGGTTGGGGGTCAAGGGCTTCGGGTTTGGGTGATGGACTTCGGGCTTGGGAGGAGTAGGCGGTAGGGGCAGGGCAAGCACGCACGGAGCGTTTTTGTGGGTTGGCGGTCACAAATCGTTGGTTCTGAACCCGACAAAAAAGTGTTTTTGAGTTTTTTGGGGAGAAGGGGGGTGGGGGGTAAGGGTCAGGTGCAAGGAATGGACTTCGGGTTCCTCCCGTGTAAGTACGCACAGAGCGTTTTTGTGGGTTGGCGGTCACAAATTGTCGGTTTCGGTTCTGAACCCGACAAAAAAGTGTTTTTGAGTTGGGGGTCGGGAGGGGGTCCCTGGTCGGGGGGCGGAAGGGGAGGGGTCGTCGGTCGGGAAGGGGTCAGGGGGGCAGGGGGGAGTGAGGAGTAGGGGGTAGGGGCAGGGCAAGCACGCACGGAGCGTTTTTGTGGGTTGGCGGTCACAAATCGTCGGTTGTGAAAACGACAAAAAAAGTGTTTTTGAGCTTTTGGGGGCCGAGAGGGGGGGTCCCTGGTCGGGGGGGAAGGGGAGGGTGGGGGGGGGGGGTCGTCAGGACTACCTCTCGTGTAAGGGGCTTCCCGGGCGCTCGACCCCAAAGGCGGGGTCGGCGGATATATATATATATATACATATATATATATGTATGTATGTACATATATATATATATGTTTACATATATACATGTTTACACACTGTCCGATCGTTCCCCTTACACTGCAGCGTGCTGTGGCCGAGGAGTGGACGGACTGGACAGACTGCGCGCCGTACTGCAAAGGAAGCCAATCCAGAACGCGCAGCCCCTTGCACGAAAGGATAAGTTTCCCAGGCATTTTCTTGCATTGCGCCAGTTGTCCACGTGCTGACTCGACGCGCTCAACTTCGTGGCAAGCGGCACCAAGATCGCTGAAAGATCCAACCCTTCACCCTAAACCGTAACCCTAAAGCCTAAACCCTAAACCCCACACCCAGGCATTCTGAGAGAGCCCGCCAACGGCGGGCAAACCTGCGGCGAGACGTCGCTGGTTGTGAACTGCAGCTGGAAACTCAGAGGTTCGCCTTCTCGGGTGGTTTAGGAACTAATTGGTTTTGGGGGTGGAGGGATTTAGGGCCATCCAGGGTTTAGGGTTTTTGGAGATTTTGGGATTGAGGGTCCAGACAGCAAGGCAGAGAGCGGATCACATGAATCACATGTAGACTTGATTATGCTGCTAACGGTAAGCCACCCAAGTTCTGAGCCTTCTCCGACCTACCACCAGCCATCAAACCGTCAAGTGGAGTGCGGCTGAGGCAACGCCTGTGTGGATTGTGTGGTGTCCTCCTGGTCTGTGTGGGCCTTGGCCAACAGCCAAGGCAGTTGGGGGTTGCAGTGTTGCTCAAAATTTCATGGGTTAATTGGGCTAAAAGTATCCCTAAGGGGGAGACCCAGGGGGGGTAGTATAGAGGGGGGTAGAAGGGGAACCCATGAAAATTGGGTTTTCCCTGAACAAGGTACCTTTCACCCCTTAACAGACCTGCACAGGGGGAGCTAATTTGCCCCTGATTAGGGCCTTCACCTTGAATTGAACCCAGAGTTCACCAACTGGTACAATCTCGCAGGAGTATGTTTCGAGCAGCTATTTTCGAGTCATATTACGACTGCAACCTGCTGTTCCAGAGTATCTTCCGTAAAAAAAGAGATTCGTAGTGGCAGGCATACTGGATGTTAGAACTCCCTGAAAACGGACATCGACATCAGGATGTTCTGTAAGAGTCTGGATGTCAACGCCTGAAACCTAACTAACCTGTGAGCTTACAAAATCCAAGACCACAGTTTGAGGATTTGCTAGGATCCCTGACTTCGCATATGGAGCATTGTATGCAGGGTGCCCCAGAAGGGAGTATCAGTACCCTAAATCCTCTCACAGTTCAGGGAGCTGCGCATTTGAGGTCTGGTCGCCCTGCTCGGTCACGTGCGGCAGCGGCCAGCAGTCCAGGACACATCCTCGTTTTCCTTCAGGGGTTGAGGGTTGCGGAGGTGAATATGGTGCGTGGTGGTGCAGAAGGAAGCCCTAAGCCCGAAACCCCAAACCCCCAAACTGTAAACCCCAAACCCGAACCGTTCCTGAGGAAGAGGGTCATCTTGGTCGAAGCAGAAGGCTCCCGGAGCCAGAGCTCATGTGCTGGGGTTGAGGAATTTTGCGCGATTCAGAAACCAGCCGCGGTTCAGGAAACCAGGGTTCAGGAAACCGGGATTCAGGAAACTAGGCGGTGGGGGGGGTGGGGGCAGGGGAGCATAACGTTCATGTCAATCAAGCCTGCTTTCAGTTTGCCGAATCCGCGCTTGCCAGTTTCCCGAATTCCGTTTTTCCAGTTTTCGCATCCGCGCGTTTGCAGTTTCCCGCCGCTGACCGGGTTTTGAGGGTTAAGGCTTCCAGCAGTCACGAAAGCTAGCTCCTTGGAGCTCGCGAGAGTTGTCGTTTACAAGAATTCTCTCTAGTGTTCAGCTGGGTCAAGAAGCGACTCCGTCCCCCCCCCCTCCTTTCAGGGTCGCCTTAATTGATTTCTGGCGAGGGGGGGGCCCCCCCCCCCCCCCTTTTCAGGCTTCCCCCCTCCGTCTTGGTCAGGCCCTGCTGTCGAGCATTCGAATCCGCAGCTTCCGACAGCTCTTAGTGCGACCGCTGCGTGTCCCATCATGTTTCGTTTTGCTGACAGTTCAGAGTTTGCAGCGTTGTTGCTGCGCCCGCACTTCTCCTGCCTGACTCGAAAAAAGCTTGCTTGTCAGCCGCGTTTCTAGCTTTCGTGGCCCCGATCTCAAGTTCATAACAACCCTAAACCCTAAACCCCTAAACCCTAAACCCTAAACCGTAAACCCTAAACCCCAAAACGCCGAACTCTGCTCCCGGAATCGCCAGGCCAGGGTGCGCCGTGCCCGGAGGACCTTCTGGATGAGAGCCTCGGCCGCAGGTTTGCCAATTTTTATCAGGTTTAGGCTTTAGGGTTTAGGGTTTAGGGATAAGGTTTAGGGTTTATAGGGTTCAGGGTTTAGGGGTTGAGGGTTGAGGGTTGAGGGTTGCGGGTTTACGGTCTAGGGAACAAACCCTGAACACTGAACTCCAGACCCTAAACCCTACACCCTAAACCCTAAACCCTCAACCCTAAGCCCGAACGTACCCTGGCTCCCCACTTTTCTGGAGAGTTCTATTCAGGGGGCTTGCTGGGGGTTTGGGGTTGAGGGGCCTGACCTAGTGTGGCTGATGTCCTCCTAGCCGCTGCTGTGGGTCGTGTGGGTTGTGTCCGCTATCAGGAAGGAAGGCTGCAACGCCACCGACTGCCCCGTCGACCCTTGGCCGGATTTTTTTTTTCTGTGCTGTTCTTTTTCGGGGTGGTGGGATTTAAGGTTCAAGTCCGGGAGCTTTGGGGCAAGTGCGGGGGCAGGCAAATGAAGGGCGTGGTGCTCTGAAGTTTTCCGATCAGTTTGACGGAAGAGGGAAGCTGTCGCCAGGACTGTGCGTGGGAAGATTGGGCACCGTGGAACGGCTGCCCAGTGACGTGTGGTGGTGCCGTTAAGAATCGAACCCGAGGCAGTGGAGTTGCTTGCATGTGTGTGGGACGTCACTCATGAACCAGTTTGCCAGCGGCCTTTGGAAATGTTATATTGCTTCGAGGCAAGCTCACGGACGAGAAGTTTGGCGGCGTTCCCTGTGAAGGCTGGGCGGCGGTTGACGTGCTCCACAAGTAAGGCAAGGTCGCATGCTGTGTGTCAAGGAGAAGCGATGGAGCTTGGCTCCTGCGCGGAGACGGCGTGTCCTCAGGAGCTCGGGATAGCTCGGGTCAAGTTGGGTCAGGAAAGGCAATCACCAGGCAATCCCTTATCCCAGAAATTTTTAGCCTTCGTGATGCTCTTGGCAGGACTGCCTCTGGTCGGAGTGGGGAGCCTGGGGCAATTGCACTCGGCTGTGCGGCGGCGGCACGCAGTCGCGTTACAGACACATTACGCAGGATGTGATGGGAGAGGCGCCGCAGCACTTAGAACATTGTTTTGCCAAGTAGGTGTGGCAGACGGTAGCCGACATGACGGCAAAGATTGAGAGCATGAAGAAGGGAGCTAAGGGTCTCGTCCTTAGATTTCGGCTTCCTGTATTCTTGTATGCTCGCCAGGGCACGAACTGCACCGGTACGGCCCATGACGAGCGCGACTGCAACGAGGACACGCGCATCCCTGCTCCAAGCCATCCCCAACTTCATTATCCTGGTTTGCGTTGACCAGTGTTTTTGCATAGGGCCATAGGCCATGGGGGGTTGCGATGGGTTCCGCCAAGCAATGCAAGCCGCCTGCGCAGGACGCCTGCCCAAAGGACTGCGAGTTTCTGGATTGGGCGGACTGGAGCAGCTGCTCAATCACTTGTGGGGCTGGCGGCAACAAGACCCGGTCCCGGAAGGTGGACGCCGAGATCAATGGAGGTGAGCCATGCGATCCTGCAGTTCCGCTCCAGGAGGTGATCGAGTGTGGCACTGCTGGGTGCCCACGGGACTGCGTTTGGGGCGACTGGGGGATCTGGACCAACTGCAGCAAGACATGTGGCCTCGGGCTGAACGCCGGGATCACCACACGCCACCGGGTGCAAAGTGTCACCGCGGCATTTGGGGGGAAGGCCTGCCAGGGCAAGACCGTCCACACGACCCGCTGCAACGAGGTCCTGTGTCCTGTGAACTGCGAGTGGGAGGAATGGACGCCATGGACGGAGTGCGTCATGCCCTGCGGTGGCAACGGAACAAGGCAGCGGTCGCGCGGCAAGACCGCCCCAGCTCATGGTGGGGAGGACTGCGTGGGTGACTCGACGGAGGTCTCCTCCTGCACCGTGCTGGGCGGCTGCTCCGTGAACTGCTCCTGGGAGGACTGGAACGAGTGGACCGCCTGCTCAGCATCCTGCGGAGAGGGGAACCGAATCAGGCACACAACATCTAGGAATCGAGGAATCGAGGGTTTGAGGTAGGAAAGCACCAAAATCATGGTGGGGGGGTTTATGGGGATGGCCATCTCAGGGTTACTTAGGGCTACTTCGGGTTCGGGGTTTAGGATATAGGGTCTCTCGTGCTTGCTGGGGGATGTCATCAGGAATCATGCTTCGCCTAGAAGCCTTAGGCGCGTGCGCCCTTCTCAGCCTCCGGGAACCGACCCCGAAACAGAACCCCACCCACAAACCCTAAACCCTAAACCCTAAACCATAAACCCATAAACCCATAAACCCATAAACCCATAAACCCATAAACCCATAAACCCATAAACCCATAAACCCATAAACCCATAAACCCATAAACCCATAAACCCATAAACCCATGAACCCTGAACTCTGAGCCTTCAGCCCCAAGTCCAATCCCAAGAGCCAGATCCCCTGAAAGGTTTCGTTTCGTGGCCGACGAGGCACGGGGCCCCCATGGCCAGGTGTGCCACGGCCAGCCCCAGGCGAGGTTTGGTTTCGGGCAGTGTTAGGGGGTTTTGAGGTGTTTTTTAGGATTTTTCTGGGTGTAAGGTTTTTTTTTTGTTGTTTTGGGGCTTTAGGGCATGTAGGGTTACCAGGGGGTCAGGGCTTTGGGAGTTTAGGGGTGGTCCAGGGAAGAGAAAAAACTATATGGGCATGTCGCTGAGGCGCGGGGCTTAGGGTTAGGGCCGTTAGGGGTTGCCGTGCGCCAAGTGGGACCCTTAAACATCCTCAAACCCGCAGCTCCCCCTTGAACCCCTAGTGGGTCAGGGAAAACTGCGCTTCGCTTCAGGAGGAGGAGTTCTGCAACCCTGACATCACCTGCCCCGTCGACTGCTTCTTCAACGACTGGACGGAGCCTTTCACGAATTGAAGTTGGGAACCGGTAGACAGTGGTGCCAGTTTCAATAAGAGGGCCAATTGCAAGCCAAGCTGTCTTACACTCCGAGGACTGGGGTGCTTGTGAGCCCATGCCTTGTGGCCCCGCCAAGAAGCTGCGAGCCAGGAGATCTTCGCAAAGATTCTTCCAAGGGAGTCGTCAGTCCGCTGCTGTTCTGGTAGTCTACCCAGAGCACTCCGAAATCCGTTAGTTAAGGAAGACACCTTACGTACAGCATACAGGGGTTCCAATTTTGGCAAATTCCTCAATCAGGCGCCGTTGGGGGCTGGGTGAACTCCATAGACATCAGGTTCGGCCACAAAAAGGGAGGGTCCAACATTTCGCCTCATCGATGGGCCAACGGCGCAGAAACAGCGGATGCCATGCCTGCAAGAGCCTAAACCCTAAACCCTCAGCTTTCAAACCTAAACGCCAAACCCACGACAAGAGCTGCCTTACCACCACATGCCAGGACGAAGATGGCGGCGCGTTATGGCGGCAAGCCCTGCGAGGGCAACTCCAGTGAGGCAGGGGCAGGGGTGTCCTCGCCTCCAGCTAGCCAAAGCCATCCCGAATCTGAATGGTCACTTTCGGGACAAGAACAGGACAGAACCTACATACAGACTGCCTCCACTCTGGCCTATCCAGGACATAAGGAACAGCCATGAATAGCCATTCAGTTCTTCTTTGGCTTGAGTTCCCCATAGACCCAGTCTGTTCAATCCGCTGAATGTTCTTCAACAGGTGGAGGAGTGCACAGTTCCTGCGGCTTGGATGCCAGTTTCGTCATTCTCTTGAAGTCTTGACAGCGCTCGTGTTGCACATACATATGCTACATGTATCATCGCGTATCCGTTCTTGTGTGACTAGGGTGGGAGAGTCATCGAGTGCGATGAGAACGGCAAGCCGGTCACCTCAACGTCCACCACCATCACGACCACAACGACGTTCACGACCACGACGCAGACGAACACAACCACTACCATCACGGTGACCAGCACGACCACCCAGACCGTTACGAACACCACGGCCGCTCCAAGCGGCTTGACCCGAAGATGGATCAGGGTATAGGGTGGGGATGGGAGATGCTTGTGGCAGCTCCATGTATTGGGTTGCGACATAGGACAGATGCCTGAACCACTCAGGCCGTTCCGGAAAGGCCACAGTCATGACTAGAAACATACTAAATGTAAAACTGTACACGTGCCGCAAGCCCTACGAAAACATAAGGCACCACCACCGGTGCGCCCGTGGTGGTCACGACTGTGGGGCTCAACGCCGATTCCGCTGCAGCGGCCGCGGCCGCGGCTGCAGAGGACCCTAAGACAAAGAGAAAGTTCTGGTTTGAAAGGTTTAGGGTTTAGGGTTTGGGGTTATCCTAGGTTACATATGCGAGCAGTACAGATAGCAACCCTTAAGAACCCAACACCTTTTTCAGTAGCTGAGCTGATAGGTCTATTTGAGTTCTTTAGAGAACTGGCCTCGAAGAAAGGAGGTTTGGGGTTCTCAAGGTAGGGAGGGTTTTCGGTGGACTTCTGGGTTTAGGGGATTAGGGGTTGCAGACAGCAATGTTCTCAGGATGTGAGATTTGCCCCCAGCCAGCCCAGCACCCTTCGTTTGGAGCACGGACTGTAAGCTGTAAAGCCTAGAGTCTCAATTAGGGGGGTATCCCTAAACCCCTGAGCTCTACAGCCCTGAAGCATGGACCTCTGCGGGTTTTCCCCGCGTGGCCTCACAGGAGTCTGTCCAGGGAACAGAAGCCTTGGCGACTTGGCGCTTGTCTTGAGGGTTTTCAGAATTTCGACAAGTTTCGGAGGTTTTGTGAGGTGCAGGTTTGCTTAGCGGCTTTAGGGGTGAAGATTTGTGTTTCGGTCTGTTAAAGGGGTATTTGGGCTGTTGAGGGTTGTTTGCTGGGGGGCCAGGGATACAAACCCTAAACTCGAAACCCATGGAACCAGCGAAGACATGTTTCCTAAACCCAACCCCGCCCCTCAACCCTCAACCCTCAACCCCTCAAACCTCAACCCTCAACCCCTCAACCCTCGACCCTCAACCCTCAACCCTCAACCCTCAAACCTCAACCCTAAACCCTAAACCCTAAACCCATCTCGCCAAGGAAGTCACCGATCCGGAGAAGTTCGTGAAGGCCAACCATTCCGCACCAGCGTTTTGCGTTTGAGACTCCTCAGTCCGGAACCCTGAAATCCTAGAACCCTGAACCCTAAAACCCTAAAACCCCTAACGCCCTAAACCCCTAAACACCTAAACATCCCTAAACATCCCCAAAACCCTAAACTTTAAGCTCAGGCTTGGGGTTTAGGGGCCCTGAGCCCTGAGCCCCCGCGAGGACGAAGCCGCGAAGAAGGCCCTCAAGGAGGCCATTGCCCAGGAGGCCAGAGTGTGTTTGGGGGTGTTTCGGGGGGTTTGGGGGTTGGGTTTGGGGGGGTTTGGGGGGGGGTTTGGGGGGGTTTGGGGGGGTTTGGGGTTGAGGGTTTAGGGAGGTTTCGGGAGGTTTTGGGAGGTCTAGGCTTTGAGATTTAGGGAGTCCTGGTAGGGGTGTTCGGCGGGCGCTTTGGGGTTCAGGGTGCTGTGCTTTTGCTTGAGGTCGGCATCTCCGCTGATGCGGTGATCGTCAAAAGCGCCAAAGTGGAGCCGGAGGCGTTTGTCGCGCGACATGTGAGGGGGGGGGACGACGACACCCAACACCTGAAATTAGAAACATGCCTGTGCCAGTCGGACATCGCAATCCAAATTCTGTCTTGGTTCAGGCGCCTGCAGTTCTCCTGCAGTCTCACGGCAACAAGGCCCGCCGAAGGGAGAACCCCAGTGGCACTTCGACAGCAAGAGAGGGAGCATTCAGCTCAAGATCTCTACGTCACCTTGAGCTGAGGCCGAGTCAGCGTCGAGTATGAGATCGTACCTCAGATGAGTGGCAAGACCCCTGACGAAGTCATGGATGCGATGGAGCACATGAAGCCTGAAGAGGCCGTAAGGGGGGCCGGGCCATACTTCACCAGGATTTAGGGTCTTTTGGGGTGTGTAGGCGGGGTTTACACGGTATGCGACCCACGAGGCTTCTGGGGCTGATGGCCCACAGCTGACCTGAAGAAATCATAACCCACCCCCCCTTTTGCTAAGATCAATACAAAAGTAGCACCAACTGTAAACAGTACTGTATTAATGAATATTCATAGGATGAGCACACGCGCTTACACATGCACTTGCACACGCACGTAAGCAATTGCACAATTACACACTTACTTACACATTTACACGCTTACATGCTTGCACACTTACACACTTGCACACTTACACACCACACCTCGCGCACACGCCACACACTCGCTCACACACCCACTCACACACCCACTCACTCACGTACATGCAAGCACGTGCGCACTGACAAACTGACACACTGACGCACGGACACACTGACGCACTGACGCACTGACGCACTGACGCACTGACGCACTAACGCATGCACAGGCGCACGGGCGCGGGCGCACGCGCAGAGGCGCACACGCAGGGGCGCACACACGCAGGGGTGCACGCATGGGTGCCACATGCACACGCGTACGCGCGCACACACACACACATATATACACCTTACGCACGCTTACACAGACACACACACAGACAGACAGACACACACACACACACACACACACACACACACACACACGCACACGCACACGCACACGCACACGCACACGCACACGCACACGCACACGCACACGCACACGCACCCGCACACGCAC